ATCAGCAAGGTGGAAATGGGGCTCTGGTATGGGTTGGTATTATTAATACCATGTCTCTAAGCACTGAACACCTTGTAATTCTGGGCACTTCAGGTAGGTTAAAGTTCTGGAATATAACAGCACTGGAGGATAATGGGTTCCTGGTAGCTTCAAGCTTTTTTGCTACTTCCCAAATCTTTGGCAGTTAATTTTTGTCTTTTTTTTCTCAACACGCTTATTGCAATCCTGTTGACTATTTGCAACAAAACATTTGATGGTTCTGTGATCATGCACTAATATCTTAGCAATTTCAAGAGTGCTGCATCCCTCTGAAAGACAATTATTGAATTTTCAGAGTCAGTTAAATCTCTTTTTTGGCCCATTTTGCCTGAGCAAAAGCTTTATGCAGCTTGGAGTTGGCTAATATGCATATGAATGATGATTTTATCAAAACACTCACTTGCCTAATGATTGTGCACACAGTGTAGTTACCCATTTGCCCTGTGGGTAGCACCTTGGTAAAAATTTTAACACATCACTGAAGTTTCAGGAAGTCTTCTGAGAAGAGGTGGAGGTCAGCTGAAATATCAGGGCTTTGTATAGGATTTTCTGAAGTAATGGAGTCTGGAGTAAGCATAAAGAGGAAAAACTAGTGTGGGTCAAAGGAAGGTCAAGGATGATGTAGGCATAGCGGATTGAACAACATACACATACGGTACAGATCGCCTTGGACAAACAATCAAGCATAAGACTGGCTGTCAGTATAATACAGGGCATGGTGAGAATAAACAGGAAACACTTGTATTATTAGGTAGACACAAAATAATTGGTGCATGTACAGATTAACACAGGTAAGGGCAGCAAAGAAGCTAGACAGACTAAGCGTGGATATAAGCGGCCATCCCTAAGATTGTTGGGCAGGGAGCAAGGCCAAATTAAAGGCAACTATTGCCCTAAACCAACAATAATGCCCCCCTCGACCTCCCTGCACTAAGGGGTTGGTTGCATGGTAGCCAATCAGCTTCTAGGTTTTATTGTCAAAGCTTAATTGAACAAGCTGAAGATAGAAGCTGATTGGCTACCATACACAGCTGCACCAGATTTAAGACTAATTAAGTGATGAAAGTGAAATAAAAGTTGGAACAAAAGGTAGATGAGCACTAATACGATCAGGAGGGAGAGGACTTGAGGTGCATCATGTAAGTTATCACAACAGTCAGTTCTTGGTATGTGTACATCTGTGTAGAGTCAGGATGGGATTGCTTAGTTTAATGTAAAGGTGCCCTTATCCTTTGAGGGTACAATAGCTAGGCAAAGTAGCTAATAAAAAAAAAAAAAACTCCTATTTCCTTGGTACCGGAAGCATTTGCTTATTTTGCTTAATGGTTAATCCAGCCCTGTTAGGGAGCATCTGTTTGTTCAACCACCGACAAGCAGAAATGGCACTGTTCACCGGAAGAAGAACATACAATCCTTTGTTCAGAGACTTCCTAGCATTTGTGAGTGATAGCAAGCACTGTTGATGCTAAAATACATTCTTGCCACCCCCAAGGTTGCAGGAAAATAAAGATAACAGGACCAATAGGATGGGAATGAAACCAGCCAAGACTGATGGAACATGAATTCATAATAAATACTCAAGGATTATTCAAACTAAAGACAGGTTAGGAAATGCAGTATGGCAGATTAAAAAAAAATTACGCAGACAACAGATGGAGTCAAAAAGAAGTACAGACAAACACAACAGCTGGAGAAGGTAGAGGATTCACGATCAAATCCAGCTGCATTTCTACAACTACTTTTCTTGCAGTCTGTATGCAAAAGCACATGAATAGGTACCCAGCCAGAGGTCCTTATCACGCTTGCTAGATGTACTATAGTTTTAAAAATAAAGAAAAACAGCAAAAGTATAGGCACAGTGTTGCAGGAACATCATGAGTAGCTATCAATGTCACACAAGTCTACAAATGCAGAGCCAGCAAACTACTTACATGCACACTCAAATTTGAAACCGATAATTTATCAACATATATAACCGGCAAATGTGTGATAGTTCCAGAACAGTACTGGAGGGTAACATAGAGGGCAATATGTGCTATAAAGGAGTACTGGAGGGTATGACAGTTGGAAGAATGTGGAGGAGAGGCATGTGAAGACTATGTCAGGGTGCAGTATGTGCAGATGAGAAGTGCTGAGTAAACAGAGGGCATTTTAAATGACAGAATGAGGATAAGGAAGGTTTAAAAGCAGCCAGTATACACAGGCAGGGAGTATGTGGAGTGTATTACAGAGACGAGTATATTCAGCATAGAAGTGCAGAGGGTATGATAATGGTCAGTATGTACAAGAGAAAAGTGTGAAGGTATGGCAGTGGTCAGTAAGTCCAGGAGAGGGATACAGAGAGTCTAGTGTGAATTATAGGGGCATGGCAGAACATATAGGGTGAACACTAAGGGATAAAATGCCAGAGCACACAGTATGGATGGGGAAGAGAAAAAGCTGCCAAAGAACACAGCATTGACAGTGGGAGAGGGGAAGTGCCACTTGGGGAGGGGTGGTGTTGTGACAGCACACTTGTGTGGATGTAATGTATGCAAGGGACAGGGACACGGATGATAAAATAATCTACAAGGACATGGTCACTGGGACAACAATGTATGCACTCAAAATATAGGGTTTGGGTATAAAAAATATAGTCACAGTATTTAGACAAATTATATGCAAAGTGCAACCAATCAAGAATGGTCTCTTAATGATTTTCTTTGTTGCCATTTACAAATGCAGCTTCTTAAGGTCACGTTAGTCTTCACAAAGCCATTACAAAGTTAAAACCCTCTTGGGCACCAAACATGGATATGTCAACTGGATCGCTGGGAAAACAGATTCTCAATTCCTCCCTGACAAGGTAATACACACTAAAAGTAGCTAAATGTGTCTGTATGTCTTTACACACACACAAACACACTGTGGCCATAAAAATTCAAACACTGTTTCTCCAGCAGAAACTGGACCACGCCAATTGAATATGTGAATTACACAAACAAATGCATGCAGACACAACTATTAAAGTGGTATTAACCTCCAAAACAAAAATGCTTTATATTACAGTTTACCTATTCCTAGATGCGATGGCTATATTAGTATTCTTTTTTTAGGCTTTTTTTCTTAACCTTCTCCTGGTGATCTAGCCAGTAAGTGTATTTTTCAGCTTCCTTTGAAGCCTAAGTTAATTAAATATATTTTAAACCAGCAAAAGAGAAAGCTCGTACAATTAGTGAGAAGTGTCACTTGCGCTGCTGTTTTAGTTGAAACTTAAAGATCTGTCACAGGCACTTGTCAAGGGTGCCAACTATACCTGCCCTTCCACCCCCTCCTTCATTCACAGAAGCTGTGCTTTAATTTCCAGCAATGAAAACTGAACATTTTCCAGAAAATTGATCTAAGAGCAAAGAACAGGCTGATGAACGAAATATCAGCCTTGTCCATTCATTGATCGCTTTTCAAAGATGCTATAGCACACCTTGTATAAATGGAGAAGGGTGGTTTACAAAAGTGTTTGCTGGAGTTCGGCTTTAATTTGTTAATCAAGTCCATATAAATCTGCACATCTAACACTACCCTCTGCCAAAACTGACAATGTTGCTGTCCAAAGGTGATTCTGCTGCTTCTACAGTGGTTGCTATTTGACAGGCGTCCATTGGTGGATGAATTTGGAAGACCCTTGTACAATCACTGTACGTGGCAGCTGTTATAGCTAAATGCATCGCTAAACAAGGGGTCTAATTTTTTTCATTCATCTATATCCATTCATCCCAATATAACCTAATCAATGGGTGTGTGTGTATGTATTTATGTAATGAGCAGGGAATTTCATCAAGCTTGGTTTTTCTTTGGCAAATTTTTGGCAAAATAAGCCTTTAATTTAGCAGGTACACTCCAGGGGAAAATGAGACCCAAACAAGAACATTTCCTTGTAAAATTAGGAGTGCACTGTGGTCTTAACTGTGACATCTCTTTTCTATGTGGCATAGGGGTGTTGATAAAGTGAAGTTATATTCTGCCGTTGTGTGGCATGGATTTTATTTTTTTAATTAAAAAATCCATGTGATCAGCATGTCATTACTGACATTGTGATCACATAGGTTAGAGTAACCAGTACAATTATTGTTATTGTTTTTTTGGCACAAGAATAGGTCCATGATAGTGAAAAGAATTGTTTATGACTGCCAGAAATACAATGCATCCTATCCTATTTATTTCTGTTGACACCAATGCATTTTGAGATAGAAAAAGAATAAAAAAAAGAGAATGCGAAAGAGAGAAAATGGAAAAGAGAGAGATGTTGGATAGTTGTTACTGTGTTATGAAAGAAAAGTCAGGTAGTAAAATAAAGTATTAAACATAGCAAACTAATGGACCTCAGACACAGTACCCCCATTTGATTCCAAAGCATGGTGTCTTATACAAAAGAAAACAAGAAGGCCTTTTTGCATCACAATATCAGAATCACTATTGTATTGCAGATGGGTTACAAAGTCTCCTATTAGTATATGACCTTATAAAAAATAGTGTACAGGATAGCTAAAGCAGCACACCATGTCTCTGGATCTTGTCTGAAAACAAAAAGAAAAGCTTTCATTACCTTCAACGGTTACAATCAGAAACTTTAATTAAGTAACCAGCATGCAAAGGCCTGCAACCCTGGTATAAATCAGTTACACAAAGAGCCTTAATGCTTCTATCTGTGAAACAAGCACCAATGCCACTATGAACATACAAAGCTTATCACTGATTACATTATTGATTTGTCAAGCTGAAGAAACAAAGACCGCATGAAGCTTTAAGCTCATAAATCACCGTGCCATGCCAGTGCAACATATTTTTTAAAAACCCACAAATCTCCAGCTAGGAGCCACGCTGACAGAGTACCTAGTTATTCATCAAAAGCAGAATAATTCACTAAATGCCCAGCTCCGCCTGTGATGCCTGCCTGCTCGGAGCTTGATTTATGTTCTTCTCACCGTTAAGTGGCCCTCGTGATGACCAGGGAAATGTATGAATAAATATTCGGTGGCTACCAGCTGCATTATAGAGTCACCCAGGAATTCCATCCTCTGGTTATGGCCTCTGTTTAAGACAGGAAAGAAAAATTAATAGAGAGAAATCAATAATCACTCAAGGAGTAACAAATTAAAATAAAGAGTCATACACACGTTTTCTTTTACTAGTGCATACAGAGACAAATGTTGTTCATTAACTGCTTCTATTTACAAACAAACATGATCACAAAGCCCTCTTTTTGCTAAGGCCTTGTGCCCTAAATCGAGAAAAAAAAAAAGATCAAGGACAGAGTACTTGTCTCTTTGTAAAATGATCACATTACATGCAATACCTGGCAGTGGCTGAGCATCTCTATTGCTGAAAAAAATAGGTCAGGAAGAGTCTTTATTATTAAAAGTCGCAGATAACAAATGGATGACTGGAGCTGTCTGGGAAGCAGAAGTTTCGTAAAGCACTGCCAGGTCCCAAAGCACTCTGAGGCCAAAGCTTTCACATATGCCTTTTGCATTAATCTTATAGCAAACAGGGTATATTTGGGAATGTCAAGGATTTTATTATGTATTAACATTACATACTGTGCAGACAGGACACTTAAACTCCTTCTACAGTTTGTAATTTTTTTTTTTCTAAGACTTTGACTTTAAATGACAACTGTCTGAAGTCCCTAAAGAAATTCACACACCCACTGTATATGACTAAGGGAAGGAATAAGGGAAGGAATAAAAGTAGCCCAAGCCAAGGGTTATTCTCATTTCTCATTTAATCGCTCTAAACATTTTCCCCAAAGAAGAGGTATGAAATACCTATGATGAAAGTGCATCAAAGCTGAGGTAGGTAGAATTCTCAATCACAAAAGGCATTTTCTTACCTCTACAGACTAAGAATAATGATCTATGTATCTCTGACCATCTAAACCTTAAAGATATCTATCAAATCAAACTCTGTGTAGGGGATCATTCCTGGCTATATGCTTAATGCACATCCATGATCCTATTGGGATTGCTTTTGATTGTCATTAGGATAACTTTTCTTAAATTCAGATAACATTTGAGAATACGTTGCTCTGAGAATGCTAAATGCAGATTTTTAATACAAGACCTGTTAAAGCAAATGCAGTATCACAAAAAATGATTATAGAACTCCCTTTGAGAAAGCTTTCTTTTTCCTTTCGCTACAGTCAGCCAGTACCATCTACAGTATGCTAAGGCACCATTCAGAATCACCATCTACTTCCTTGACTAACATGCTAGCACTAAGATTATCCAATCATGTGATGCTTGTGCAGTAGTCTTTATATCCACTGTATATACACAGTTAAAATCATGAAAAGTCTACAAACCCCTGTTAAAATGTCAGATTTCTGATGTAAAAAACAGAAAAAAAATAAATAATTTCAGAACTTTTTCCACCTTTGATGTGACCTATAAACTGTACAACTCAATTGAAAAACTAAAATATTTTAGGTGGAGGGAAATCTTTGGGGGGGGGGGGGGGGGGGGGGGGAGGAGTAAACATAAAAAACTATAATAAAAAATAATGTGGTTGCATAAGTGTGCACACCCTCTTATAACTGGGGATGTATTGGTGTTCAGAATTAAGCAATCACATCCAAAATCATGTTAAATAGGAGTCAGTACAAATCTGCCATCATTTAAAGTGCCTCTGATTAACCTCAAATAAAGTTTAGCTGTTCTAGTAGGTATTTCCTGACATTTTCTTAGTTGCAACCTACAGCAAAAGCCATGGTCCGCAGAGAGCTTCCAAAGCATCAGAGAGATCTCACTGTTAAAAGGTATCAGGAGAAGGGTACAAAAGAATTTCCAAGGCATTAAATATACCATGAAACACAGTGAAGACAGTCATCATCAAGTGGAGAAAATGTGGCTCAACAGTGACATTACCAAGAACTGGACGTCCCTTCAAAATTGATGAAAAGACAAGAAGAAAACTGGTCTGGGAGGCTGCAAAGAGACCTACAGCAACATTAAAAGAGCTTCAGGAATATCTGGCAAGTACTGGCTGTGTGGTACATGTGACAACAATCTCCCGTATTCTTCATATGTCTGGGCTATGGGGTAGAGTGGCAAGATGGAAGCCTTTTTTTACGAAGAAAAACATCCAAGCTTGGCTAAATTTTGCAAAATTATCTGAAGTCTCCAAAAACCATGTGGGGAAATGTGTTATGGTCTGATGAAACCGAGGTTGAACTTTATTGCCATAATTCCAAATAGATACGTTTGACGTAAATACAACACTGCACATCACCAAAAAAACACCATACCCACAGTGAAGCATGGTGGTGGCAGCATCATGCTTAGGGGCTGTTTTTCTTCAGCTGGAACTGGGGCCATAGTCAAGGGAGACAGAATTATGAACAGTTCCAAATACCAGTCAATATTGGCACAAAACCTTCAGGCTTCTGCTAGAAAGCTGAACATGACATCTTTCAGCATGACAATGACCCAAATCATACATCCAAAACAACAAAGGAATGGCTTCACCAGAAGATTAAAGTTTTGGAATGGCCCAGCCAGAGCCCAAACCTGAATCCTATTGAAAATCTGTGAGGTGATCTGAAGACGGCTATGCACAGGAGATGCCCTCGCAATCTGACAGATTTGGAATGTTTTTGCAAGGAAGAGTGGGCTAATATTGCCAAGTCAAGATGTGCCATGCTGATAGACTCATACCCAAAAAGACTGAGTGCTGGAATAAAATCAAAAGGTGTTTTAACCTCTTCTGTGCCTAGACGCCGAGCAGCCGCACATTTTCGTTCTATTAAAAAAAGACATATGTGCTGAGAGCGCGCGCCCTGCATGCTCCCAGCACACATGTCCGGTACTCACGGAAAGGTTCCGATCTCCTCTTTCGATCGGGACCTTTCCCGATCATGTGACCACCGTGACCCTAAACCCGGCCCCGCCTCCTGGCTTCTGAAACTCTTAAAGGGCTGGGAGGCGCCGGCGCGAAGGGGTTAACAAAGCTGTGCACACTTATGCAACCATATTATTTTCATTTTTTATTTTTACTTCCGTCCACCTAAAATATTTGAATTGTTCAACTGAGTTGTACAGTTTATAAGGTTACATTAAAGGTGGAAAAAGTTCTGATATTATTTATCTTTGTCTAATTTTTTTCAATCACAGAAACCTGACATTTTAACAGGGGTGCGTAGACTTTTTATATCCACTCTACTGCATACTCAATTCTGCCCTTTTTGCTGCCTCTCACCTTTTTGGAGGTGCTAAACATTAAAAAAGTCATAACAGTACCAGCAGACTAAAGTTTATTTTGATGCACTGGGTATTTATTAATGCATACTGGCAATCCTGCTTCACATGGAAATTATAATACTTTACTGTGAATCTTATTTTGATTGTTTCTTTACATTTATACATTTTAAAGTTGTTGATTTAAATCTGTGTTCTCTTTATCTAGAGCAGGAGTGTCCAAACTGCCTAAACATGGGCTAGTTTACTGTTCTTCAGACTTTAGTAGGGCTGGACTGTGGCCAGCAGGAGTGGAATATGCCCCAACATCAGTGGAAGTAACAACATTTCAGGCATGGTGGTCAGTAGGATTAAAACAATGATATAGTCCTGTGGTCAGTAGGAGGAGGTACAGTGCCCCATCAGTGTCAGTGGGAGGAATAGCACCCCATTGTTTATTACCTATATAGTTACATAGTTGGTAAGGTTAAATAAAGACACCAGTCTATCCAATTCAACCTGAGAGTGTGTGTGTGTGTGGGGGCATGCTTGTTTTTAAAATAGGTGGGATGAATTATGCCCCATCGTTGGTGACAGTGGAAGGAATCAGGCTCCACATCATTGTTGTCAGTGGAAGACATCTGCCCCATAATTGTTGTTAGAGGGAGAAATAGTGCCTCATGTCAGTGAGAGGACCACTACCCCCAAGGGCTGGAAAAAGGCAAGCAAAGGGCCGCATTCATTCCACGGGCCACAGTTTACAGACCACTGATCTAGAGTATATAATATTTTTGTTTCCCAAATTAATATTTAATGCATGGCAAAAGTTCCCAGATCACTATGGGGTTATCATAACAGACTGCATAGCAGCTTTCTTTGTAAATTGTCATTTCCCTGTTTTATAGCTTCTAATTAGGGTGGAGTCGTTGCTCTGATGACTTGTTTCAGTTCTCTTAACAAGGGGTTTCTTTCAGCACTACTGAAAAGTTATATGAATTATATGAAATAAACCCCAGAGCTTCACCTGCTGGAAGGATAGAGGACTGCTTAATATTAATATTTCATTTTAACCTGATATTTTTAATATTATATATAAAGAAAGACATTATGTACAAAAGCATGATACATTCCCTTTAATAGTGTGACTTCACATTTTAGCTTCAAGTGGTACTAAAGGAACAAGGTTTTTTTACCTTTGTGCATTCTATGGTAAAAAACCTTCTGTATGCAACATCCCCCTCAGCCTCCCTAATACTTACCTAAGCCGTCTCTGGATCCAGCGATGTGCACTGGAGTCTTGGCTATCCCGGGACTCCCTCTCCGTATTGGCTGAGACAGAAGTGGGAGCCACTGGCTTCCACTGCTGTCAATCACAGCAAGTAAGCCAAAGAGAAGAGGAGCGGGAGGGGCGAGCAGAGGCTCCATGTGTGAATGGATACAAGGAGCAGTGGGTGCCCCCATAGCAAGCTGCTTGCTGTGGTGGCACCCGATAGGAGGGAGGGACCAAGAGTGCCGGCGGGAGACCCGAGAAGAGGAGGATCCAGGCTGCTCTGTGAAAAACCACTGCACAAAGCAGGTAAGTATAGACATGTTTGTTATAAAACAAAACGCCTTTAGAATCACTTTCAGTGTTGCCTATTTCACAACCCAGCCAATCTTAAGAGCTGTAAAATTTAAAGTCATGTCAGATGAAATGATTGGTGCAACAGGATAATGACACTCACACCTCAGCAAATGATAACTGATGTAAAGTTGCTAGGTGAGACACTGCCTTCATTGTTAGCTGAGCTGATGTTCTTACCTATATGGCAGTGGCTGGCTAAAACACTTCTAGAACTTAACTGGGTGTCTTATTGATATATAATTTTACTAATTTTCTACTTGCTGTCTTTTTATCTGAACATAATTTCCAAAAAAAACTTCAATATGACAGCTGAAGTTACTTTAATGGAACATTATCATTATTCATTTTAAACCATCTTTTTCAAATTTTTTTATTTTATTTTTATTTAAGTTCCTATGTAGGACATAACCTGCCTTAATGTATTCTCACATGAAGCTGCATAAGTAGTGGTCTTGTTTTTCTATAAAAAAAAAAAAAAAAGAAAATAGATAGGACAAGATTCTGGCCCTATTTAAGCAATGGCTCAACATTTCCTTTGCTAGCAATACAACAGATTACTTCATCCTTATTAGCTGCCTCCTTTGACCCTTCAAAGACATTTATTAAAACAAGCACACAGAGCTGATGTCCTATTAATGTAATAAACACTTCACACTTGACCACACACAGTGTGATTCTGTCATTAAACTCAAGCTACACATGAGATGGGTGTTAAATGAGTCAATATATTAATATGGACAGATCAAAAGGGATTGTATGCAAAATTGGCATATCGGAGTGGGCGGCACATTAGCACAATGGATATCTTGGGATCATGCAGAAGCCTTGAGTTGAGATTACTGCAAATTATCAGCTACCCTGAGCTTGCATGTTCTCTCCATGCTTGTGAGGACTACAAACTACATGACATGCTAACATTTACTGCTGTCAAAACTGGCTCTTCAATGTGTGTGTGACTGTACCTTGAACATTAGATTGTAAGTTCCACTTGGGTAAACATGTACTGTGTTGGTGCTATGCAAATACAGGAAATGATAGCAAGAGGCTCATTAGTAAGAAATATCAACCTTGTGGAGTGGGGAAGGGTAAGAACCATCACCAGGCTTTCACTGCTGTCTAGTTCCTAACAGGAGATATCCCTTTACTTCCAACTCCAGGGATTACTGACACAGGGTTACAAAGTTAGGGGGAAAATCACAGCTAAAATGCAAACAAAAAAACAATCTGACAAAGTCTTCATCGCTCTACTGAAAGCTGTTCATTGCAGTTTTTCTTTCTCCAAGACTACTGTTACTGGGACAGGTTCTGAGGGGAATCCTACCTTGAAGAACTACAGGAAGCATGACTGAGCTTTTGATTGGAGTTTTCCCTTAAGCCAGCCAGATGTTTCGAATCTTGGCCAAGATTCGAACCATGTATGCGCAGGCTCTGTGTATTCCAAGTGATCTATTGATCAACTTGGGTACAACCAGCCTGTCGGATTTTACATGCGATTATCGATAGCGGATGTTATAACCGGTAGCAATTATCACTGTCTTCTTCCAGTGGGGACAGCTCCCCCCACCAGTAGAATACAATGGCTTGGCAGAATGGATTCCCCTGTCAACACTATTTGTGTTGAGAGGGAAATCGAGCAAATTTCTTTCCTGCAACCAAAGAAATTCGCACATCAAGAAATTTGAGTCTATGGCCTGCCTTAAAGAAGACCATTTTGTTAATTTCTGTTCCAATTTGTAGTGTGTGTTATAAAACAACAGATTACTTGCCCTTGTGGCTCAAACTATTTTCTTTTGCAATGTTTTTAAGTAAAAAAATAAATTACTAAAAGCTTTAGTGCATAAATATTGCTTCCGTAGACTCCTATTCTGTACTTTTCTGCATGTCCTATCCATGTGTTTGTGTGCACTGACTATTATTGAGTATTCTGATCACAAAGAAAGGTATTCACTCTATACGTCTCTGCCAGATGACAGATAAAGAGCTCAGATTCTTTGCTTACAAGGTCAGATGGTTAAATCCCACTGTTCTCAAGGTGAAAGCTCGAGCTAGAAGCCGTATATGAGTAAACAGAAGTCCAATTGCTTCTTCAAATTTTGTCAGCTTCTTAAGGACTGGTGATGTCTCAATCAGCTGTCGATCAGTGTTAGACTCCTGAAGCTGAAAAAAAGAGGAGCAAGAAACTTCTTAAACATCATTTACTGCAGACATAAATGCATGGCTTCTGTAACTGTAACAAATAATGTTGGGATGTTTATGTTAAACAAAATGGCAATAAAATGTCAGGCTTGCTTCCTTGTCGGCTCTTTTATCAATTTCAGACAGCACTGATAATCAATTTCCTGACACCACCTAACTGGCATACCCATGGATCACCTACACTGCTTATTTGTTTTGATTTGGAAGTTATTCTTATCATAAAAAGTGGCTCCATTAAGGATGAGATGACACCCTGCTAGGCTCGATCCTCTATTTTGCATAGACAGTTGTCATAATTCTCCCAGCTAGTTTATGAGAAGCAAATAAAGCAGAATCAGAACAGCACACAGATCAGAAAAGCAAAAATGAAACGCCATGTTTATCACTCTAAATAAATTATATTTAGCTACAAATAAAGTAAAAAATGTACCAGTAATCAGCACAATAAATCTACTCAAACACAAATATGTAACCTATACACACACAGTGGTGTATGTAAATAAACATCAGGATTTTCTTCTTTTTTTTTTGCTAATTCTTGTTGGGGACAATAAAAAAGTCAAAATAATCTATATTATACCAACATAATTCTACAAGTGATTGATCTTAGAAGAGACAGAAATAAGCAAAGCAGCAAGTTAATAGCCTGTATTTTAATCAATTATTTCTATTATGTGGTCAAAAGTTCCTAGCAGTCATTTTTTTATTCTAAGCAGTTATTGAAGACATGATACAATTAAAGCATGCAATAGATGTTTACTTCATAATTATAAATTGTTCAATATTAAAGTGGGCTTGTCACTAAAACTACAGTGTCAACCAGATGCATTACCTGATTGCATTATAGCTGGGTGATTTATTCTGCATCCAGCTTTGAAGTGGCCATCATCTAGTCTGAATTCAGGAGCAGAGCTGCACTGATAGATTGATCAGCCTTCTGTCATCCACTGTCTATAAACTGGCCAGCCATAAAAATTTGACCACTGAAAGGTAAAGTAACAACATTGATTATGTTGTTACAATGGCATCTGAATGTGGACATGTTGAAGATGCTGTCCCTGAAGTTGATGTGTTGAAAGCATAAAAAATGGGCAGCTTGTTGGAGCTCAGTAGCCTCAGACTGGTCAGGTGCCCATGCTGACTCGTGTCCACAGCCAAAAGGTACCTAAAATGGGTATGTGAGCATCAGAACTGGACAATGGAGCAATGGAAGAAGGTGGGTAGTGTGGTGAATCACATTTTCTTTTGCATCATGTGGATGGCCAAGTGTGTGTACATAGCTTACCTGGGAAAGAGATGGCGCCAGGATACACTATAGATAAAAGGCAAGCCCAGTGGAGGCAGTGTGATGCTTTGGACATTGTTCTGCTGAGAAATCTTGGGTCCTGCCATTCAGGTGCACCTTATTTTGACACGTACCTCCTAACTAAGCATTGTTGCTGACCAAGTACACCCTTTCATGGAAATGGTATTCCCTGTTGGCATTGGCCTCTTTCAGCAGGGTAATGCGCTCTGCCACACTGCAAAAATGTTTCAAGGATGGTTTGAGGAACACAACAAAGAGTTTGAGCTGTTGACTTGGCCACCAAATTCTTGAGATCTCAATCCAATCAAACATGGGATGTGCCAGAATAACATGTCCGATCCATGGAGGTCCCACCTTGCAATTTACAGGATTTAAAGGATCAGCTGCTAATGGCTTGGTGCAAGATATCACAGCATACCCTTCAGAGGTCTAGTAGAGTTCATCCCTTAATGATCCAGGGCTGTTTTGGCGGCAGAAGGGGGATCTACCTAATATTAGGTGAGTGATCATAATGTTATGGCTGATCTGTGTTTACTCCCTGTAGTAAGTTGATAGCCCAATGCAATGAAAAAGACACAGCAGATTGGGTGGCCTCATTTTGTTCCACTGCAGTTAGGCAATACACGGGGACAACTTGACTGCAATTAAGCAATAAAGTTCAGGTTCCAACTTGTCCGAAGCCTACTAACTGGACTACGAAGCCTACTAACTGGACTAAGCAGGAGTATGATCATAGTAATGAGATCATTCTGAGCTCTCTGCCTGTCAGTAAAGAGTTTGAGGTTGATGGTACTCTGTAATTTAGTAACTCTTAGTGTTCACCCACCTCTCCCAGAATTTTTGTGCACAGTTATTACAGGAAGATAATATAAAGTACTTGCACTAGCAGTACGTAAAAGCATTTAATGATATTTTGGGAATACATAATTACATACTACACGGCAGTCCTTTATATCTGCCTGGAGTTTAGTTTTAAAAGTGGTGCATAATACATATCTAATGATCTTGGAATACCCAACAGACCTTATAGACATTCACAGCATGCACAAATACCACTGTAATCAGTTTAGCATTTCATTCTTTATCTCCAGCACTGAATATGACACTAGAAAGAACAACAATCTTACAAAACTGAAAACTTAATATTAAATATTAATAATAAAATGTTTCAGCTGTATGCAAAACTGTTTGGCATGTCTGTGGTTTTAGATTAAGGAATCTTTTAAACAATGGCTTGTTCACATCATAAAAAATAAAAAATGACATCTTCGCCCTCAGCAAAATAAAAAAGTCACTAAAATAAATGTTCTTGCGGGACAGAAAAGAAATTGGCTCATGTTTGTCGGAGGCAGAGTTAATTCCAGTTGTTTGGTTTACACACTTCAGAGGATGATATATATATGTATACAGCACACAGCTTGTTAATAAATCCAGTACTGGTATCATGAATGTCATAGAAAGGAATCAAAGAGAAGCAGCGAATAAATAAAGAGCAATAAATGCTACTATATATATTACAATAAGGGGAGAGTTTGCTTACTTGAAGTGGGTGTAGGGGATAATTAAGCCACACGTCCCGCAGGTCCTGTAGATGTTGAAAAATGTCATTAATGCTCTAGGCAATCATTTAGCAAATTCCACAGCACTAAATAAAATGTCATTACTTGAAATACGCAACTATTTTAGATGCTGACTCGGCTCATGGAAAATTCAATACTGCCTGCAAATTAATTTGAAAATAAAGAGCCTGTACATAACTGATATCTACTCAAGATCTTACTAACCAAAGCTTAAGAGTGGAGAAAAGGATAATGTCACTGCATGAACTCAGGATAACAAAAAAAAAAAAACAACATGTATTGCCACATGGAACATATACTGCTATTTGTTCTCAAATGCTAGTGAATGTTAAACAATGGTTATAGATGTTTACATCACTTAAAAAAGGTTTCACACTTTCAATGGTCAAATACAAACCTATCTTACTATACAATAAAAAAAATACATGTTTAAAGTGATTTTTTTCACTAGCTTCTAAAACTGAAAGATAGCAAGGAACCTACATTCCACATTAATAATTGCCATTTTGCTGAAGCCCAGAGCCATAGAGCAGCAGTACATTTTTAGGCTGTCAGCAAATCTGTCAATCAGCTTGGGTACAACCAGCCTGTCGGACTTTACATGTGATTATTGCTAGCCACTATTATAGCCGCTAGCAGTAATCACTGTGTTATCCTGGAGGGGGTGGCTCCGTCGGGAGAACATGATGGCTCTGTGGAAGGGATTCCCACATCAACACTGATTGTGCTGATGGGAGAATGGAGCGTTTTTCTTTCCTGCAACCCATTGTCAGCTTTAGTGTTTAAGGGATTGTTGTTGGTGAGGGTGGTGGGGGGAACAAGTAGTAGAGAAATTTTACCTCAATGCAGAAAATACATGAATACATTAAGGTAATACAAAATATATTAAGGTAAAAAAAAAATAAACTTTAGAACCACTTTACCCATTCATGGCTTCTCATTTGTGAATACATGACACAATGCCTACCTCAGGAACCTAAGAATTTCACCGGATTTCTGAAACTGCTGCTATTTTACAAAGAATTTGAAGTGCTGCAGTGGTCCAAGAAGAGGTTTCATCCAGCGTATTGGTGGCATCTGAGCCGCAGTTTCAAATTGCCTCTCTTCTTCTTCCACTGAAGGTTTTTACTGAGTGTGCAAGTCGATTTTAAACTAGGCTGTCAACATTGTCTGTACATATCATTCAAATCCAAATTACGCACACTCTGTAATCTAATTTGTAAGCCAAAAAGGGTCAAAGTCTTAGCAGTTGAATTCAGTGAGGTTGTGTTGGCAGGCAAATGCTTTCAATAGTTTTCAACTTAAGTAGCAATTTTGATGGATTAAAGAAGGTGCTGCATTTTATCTAATTTATGCATGTTCTAAAAAGTTCCCACTGAAAAGCAGCAATTTATATATAGGTTTAATACATTTCAATTGACCGAAGACAGTAAATATGCCAGAACAAATGTAACAATTATATGATTATAAGCTCTGTTGCCAGGACAACACTTTCATTTCACTTTAGCAGTTTTATTGACATATTGAGAAACTTGTACACAGGGTTGCAAAGGCAAAAAAAACGCACAAATCTATGCTATAGACTGTAGCACTACTTAGGGGCTTGTTGGACTGTTTTGTTGTTCTCTATAATTTCTGTAATTTGTGAATGTGGTTTTCAGAGCACAGCTATCTACTGTACTTCAGGTATTCTCCATATGGGGTTTTTGCACTTAAAATTAGTTTGTAAAAAAAATGTTTTCCCTAAATGTCCCCAGTTGTAAGCTAGATCTTTTCAGCTGACCCTAACATTTAATAAACCTAATCCTGAACCTATCTTCTAATGCTTAACGTGTATGTCAGGGAAAAATAAAACATATTTGGTACATCTTTACAATACATGCACATTTCCCTCGGTTTTATCTCTTTGAAAACACAGCGGGTACAGAAAAATGCTTGTCGATCTGCCAGAACACCAGTGTATTTATACATTCCTGCTGGTAATTTACAAGGCTGTTTGTTCTGCTCTGAAATGCCAAGAAGTGCTGTAAACCCTGCCTGAGTTTTCTGCTGCTGTACTACAGAACGCGTCTTTCTTTAGGTTTTAAAAATGAGGTGAGAGGGAACTGTTCAATACTATAGCAGGGGACAACTAGGAAGTATGTTTACATTGGGAAATGTGCATGTATTGCAGATAAGTACTAAATATGTTTTTTTTGGCCCATTCATAGACTTCAAACTGAAAAGACAACTTGTCCTTTAAATTGTTCACTCACCTCCCTCAGTGGAAATCAAAAACCTAAATATTTAACTTCAGCTCTGTTCCTGAGGTATTCACTGTGCGTCCCCTTTGTCACACCATACAGCCTTTGCACCAAAAAGTCCAAACCATGTTCAGCTCTTACAATGCTTGCAGTGAGCTGGACAATGCTGCCTATTCCATTCGATTTTATGGTGAGGTACACCATGAGTACAGTCCTAGACATAGAATTGAACAGATCAAGCAATGCACATTCACAGTGGACGATCTAGGGACTGGGGCACAAGGTAAGTAATTAGTCACGAAAACTAAAGTTGTCCTTTTAGTCTTACCTACACTGAGACTTGACCTGCTCCTATCAACTAAATGTGAACCTAAAACTTTACAAGAACTCTTAACACTCAGGCTAAACCCGAAAACATAAGCTCTTGTTTACTCTTTATTTTCCATTAAAAAGCTCTCTAAATTCAAATGAAATGTTATTTATGAGCAAAATTCTGTAAGCACAGCAACGTGTAAACTGCAGGAACCCATACAAACCAGTGTGTTGAACGATGAACAGTTTCTCGAGGTTACTGTTCTTCACGTTATTTTTTCAATAATCTTACGAGTGTCAGTAATTTTCACATGATCTCACCAAGTGATTCCTATTGCTAGCAAAGTGAGAACCTTTACTATACGGTACATTTCCAGGACAAATGTGGTTCAACCACTGATATTGCCAGCAGGTTATCTATGCTTCAAATAAACCTACATATTGCACAAGTGGAAATGAACCATACAGGAAGTTAAATTAAAAAAAGATTATGTTTGCAGATATGCTTGATTCTTAATCTGTCATCTACTGACTTGGCAGTAAACATTATAAATTTTTAAGGGATCATTACCTGAGTACCGAACAACAACCGCCCAAATAGCTGCTTTGCCTCTTCAAGTCCACCTTCATAGTACACAGCACCTGTAGAAATTTGTAGGCAAATGGATATGAAGATTTTGCAAGGTCCAAACTCTCGCCATAAACAAAATGAGTATTAAAAACAATATAACTCCTCTAATCCCCCCAACCCACCTAAACTAACCTGCACCAACATTCCTCACCCTAGCTTTGCAGCAGGGTGGTTTTCAATGCAATACTTATACCACCTATGGTATGAGAGTTGTATGGGTCTGTCTCAGATGCTGGTGCTGCTTCTAGTATGGCTTCATAAAAGTAGATTAGGGTTCAGTGTGCAGGTGCTACCAGCGCTGAAGAGGATTTCTGGCAAGGAGAAGTACACAGTTCTGCAGGATGTGGCTCTGCTATAGAAGTATAAAGTTGTGGTGGAGAATTTTAGTTCTGTTAGTCTAGGAGGGGTGGGCCAGAGGAGTTTCTTATTAAAGTACATATGTGCTTTTAGAATGACTTTAAAGTGAATGTTAAGCCAAAAATTTTTTCTAGCTTTGAAAAGAGTAGAAAATCATTAGAACTCATATTGTCCTGTTGGGTTTCTACTGCTATCCAGGCCTCTGTTAGATTTATCCTAATTTCCTGTGCAGCTGACAATGGTTTCACCAGACAAGGAGCAAGGGAAAATCTTCAACAGGAACACAGACAGAAATAAAAAACCTGAGAGGGGTTCTACCCTAGTCTGTGTTGCTTTTGGAGACTATAGTACATTTCCTGTCTGGTGAAATGTTGCCAGAAAGATAGGAAATTCATTAAAATCTCTCTAATGGAAAAAAAAAAACAAAACTTGACAAGGGGCTCTAACCCTTCCCATGCTATTCAAAACTGAGGAGGAAAAAAAAAGTTTTGGCTAGGCATACTTTACACTTTAACCATAATATGAATTGCTTCCAGCCAGCCATTTTTGAGAAAACCTGAAGTTGATGGAGAACATTTACCACGGGCCTTTCTGTCAAAAGATTTCAAAATGTCATTAATGGGAAAGTCATACAGTAGCCTGGTGAAAGATAGGATGTGGAGCTGACTGAAATCAGTACACTGGTAAACTAAGAGAAGAAGGACAAAAGGGGGTGCCAAATGTATACTTGTTTTGGTGGAATATATAAAAGGCTATACACAACAGCCAAACAAACCAGGTTTAAAGAAAAATAGACCTGTGCATGTATGCTCACATATTTCCATCTCCACCATCTTTTATCTTTAGTACCTATATACATGATCATGTAATGTCCTAGGAGGAATTAATTTATTTGTTCAGCAAGAGAAAGGTCAAAACAAAAAACAAACAGAAATGGAGAATAACATTTTTTACATAAAATAGTTATGAATAAATTAATTAGGGCTGATTACAGTTAACTAAGATTTAACATGGGGTTAAAAAGGATTACATGTATTATAATCATTATAAGATTTTTCGCTTTACTGCAATTATCATTTTGTGCAGATCAAGAGACACTTTTTGCACGTAAAAAACAAAATTAGGCAAAACACATCATAAATATATTACAATGTATATATAAGCCTGCAAGCACTGTTTTCAGATTTCTTTAACACAACAGCAGCTATCAGAGTGGGACACACTTTCACAGCCAAGTCCTTGAAATTTCACAAGCAGAGCCACCATAGTAGTGGAAGAAGATGAAGGTATAGGATGTATATACAAATTATTTGGATGTTTTTCTACCTCATATGCTTTAGGCCTCAACTGTTTAAGTCAGGGTTTCTCAACTAGGATTGCAAGGTACATTAGGGTTCCTCCACAGGTTCTTTTTAACTATCTGAAAGGGGTAATTCTTCCCAATGACCACAAGTGTAAGGAACATTCTTCCCACTGATCATCACATTAACGTATCATTAGTTGTAGATATAGTCATTTTTTAGCAGAGGTTCGCTGAGTCTAGAAAATTCTTAAGAGTTCCTCTGCGTTAAAAAGGTTGAGAAAGGCTGGTTTAAGCGATGTTAAGACCTAAATACTGATTTTTCAATGTGTTAACAAAAGAAACAAAGTTTTGCAAATCAGATAATAACAAAAGCATGGAAACAATTTAATGGATTGGTAATGCATGAAATATTTATTTTTTCATTAACCTTGTGGTAGTATGTTATATAGCTTGAGTTGACACATTTAACACTTGTTATTGTATTTTCATGCCTAAAGCCCAAATATTTCATTTGTTCAGTTTTGGTGATATTTTCCTTTAGTGCAAATGGTTCCTGATAACATATGTTGTAAGTGGTTTTTAAATATGTACACAAGTACAAGCAAACAAATACTTAATAATGAATAGATATGTCCACCCAAAAACTCATATTTTAGTTTTGATAGATTCAAAGAGTTAAACCACCTATAATTTTTTTTTAATCTCTGAGGGATTCTAGCAGAAATATGGAGTATATAAGCTAGAGTTGTCAGGTCTTCATACCTGCTGTGGTCATTATGAAGGAGCCTCTACTTCCTGATGGATTTTTAAATATATTTTACATTATATCGAACAGTAGGAACTGGAACATACAAAGACAGGTGGAAACACACAAAATTCTTAAGTAGACTGTCACAGTATAGGAGCCTGCCAATTATTAATCCCCTTATTAATGCCTTGTATCACATGCCCTCAGCGTCCTGCTCTGTATTGTTCCAATTGTCCCCTGTGTCACTAGGCCAAATGGCCTAATTCAATGGCCTAATCAAATTACCCTGGGCCCCCCTCCCTCCCAGCCAGCTGGCTGGGAGCTCTCCGCACACCTCCCAACTTGCCTTTCATCTATGCAGACATCATCCCTGCTCCCAGGATGTCCCTGTCACCAGCCTGATTCTCCCTAGGGTCTAGTATTTCCTTCCCCTCTCCCGGTTGCCAAGGTGACCGGGGAGCGTCCTGCAGCATTTTAAGAGGCTGGTGCTGGGCGCTCCGGCCTCATTCCGTTGTGCAGTCATCAAAGGATCTCAAGCTCCGGCGAGACCTTTGTGACTAGACTCTGCAAGCCCACCCCCAGCCTCACAGAGACCCCACAGGAGGGAAGAGACGGCCAGAGAAAGCCTGCCTGCGATTGCGAGAGACCCCACAGAAGGGGGAGAGACTACCACAGCCTGCTTGCCAGAGACCCCACAGAAGGGGGAGAGACTACCACAGCCTGCCTGCCAGAGCCAGAGGCCCACCCGCCTGATCCGGACTCCACAGGTACCTGCGTTCTGCTTCTACCCCTGGGAGACCAGGCACCCTGTTGGATCTGTGAGTACCTGCTTCCCCCGTGTTACCTGAACTGTTGCGGTGGTGACCCCTCACACCCCCCTCCTGTGTCGGACTACCCATGTTACAGGGACACCCCCTTGGCTCTCCTAGTGGACTATAAGTGGGTGGGACCCCCTCGTTACCCTTTAGTGGCAAATCCACCCTCTCTACCACCCCCCTTATTGAAGGACTGCCATCTGTTTGTCTCAATAAAGCTTTGTGCGTCTGCCATCCACTCTGTGTGTTCTGTCCAGCCTTTCCTCTGTCACATAGAAAAAATTAGAAATTATGGCAAGGAGATCCTGTTGTTTGAGCATCCAAGGCTTAAGAAAGCAGAGACTGACTCAGCACTCCAGAATTCACCCATAACAAAAATATCACTTTTGGTGGACTAACACTTTAAAAAATGTAACATATTGCTATTTCTTTTTAAGGGAGTGAACAAACAGAAGTCTAACTACTATGTGACATTATGAAAGGAGGTAATACTTTCCATTAAGGTTTACAAAAACCTTACCACGGATAAGAGCTTTGACCCATTAAATGGGACATGCCGCATTCCTGCATGGGGTGAAAAATCTGTATTTGCCTATTTTTTTTTTAAAGGAGATCTTCAGTCATTGCTACAGTGAACTGGCAGCTTGTTTGCCACTACAGTCAAATTAGGATTCTCTGAAAGACTGTAAGGGGACCTATATCTTAAAATAAACCCAGACAAGCTATTACATCTTCTAAAATTAACAGTGAAATGCATAAACATATTTTACTGCGTGCAGAAGACATCCCATCTTTGCATATTTGCATATACAGATACTGCAGGAGTGGGAGCTGTCAAGGCAGAATTAAATATTGCTGCAGTACTGTACTCAGAGATTATAGTGCAAAGCAATTGAATATGCTGGGACTATATAAAAAGATGATAAAAATATGATGAAAAACTCCTGACAGTCCTGAAACAAAGATTTCAACTACTGATGAATGCATTTCTAATCAGAAAACCAAACCTTAGAATTTCACCATAAAACCCTTATACATTCAAATCTTTCTCTGACAGATGTCTCTAATAAGGCTGTAAGAATCCATAAATTGTTCATGCACAAAATCAAAACTATACACTAATTACCCATCAGAGCTTCAAAGCAGTTTGCCATGGCATGCCGCAAATCTGATTCTCTACACAAGTCTGGTCCATGAGCATACAGCATAAAACGATCCAGTTCCAGTTTCTGGAGAAGAATAGGAAATCATATTAACAAAACACAGTTCTTGTCATAATTGTGCACACATATAAGAACAGCATTCCTCTTTTTCCTCTATTATTTTGTCTCTTCTATTTCCTTTCATATTACATAAAAGCATCCTCTGCATATTAAATTACAACAAATCTGAAAAATGGTTTTATCTTGACAGAACTTCTTCAGGTGATTAAATGCAATTTACAAAGAAAGCCAATATCCATATATGCCTGGGACCTCTGCCTGTAGAGGTCCTTACTTCCCTACAATCCCTTTGTAAACAGCAGCTGGACCCAGGACCTGCTGTTGTTTAAGGTTCTCAAATGATAGATTCTGAGCTGCAAATATTTAAAAGTTTGCATGGAAAAACCCACTGTACTTTCTGGTCTTACTACAATATGATATTTTGCCAGCAACTAGACTGATAGGTGAAATCTGGGAACTACAGATGTGAGTTCAAGTAAAATCTGGGAATGGCATGGGTTGGAAGGCCCTCTGTTTTATTTTCCTTAGAGTCACAAACAAGCAAGTTAGATTTCTTTGCTATTTTC